GTGGGAGCGAGGAGCGGGCGAGACGAAGAGGGACGGGTCTGAGCCCCGGGGGCGGCGTGCACGCAGTGCGCGGAGGGGGGGGGGGGGCAGGCCGCGACAGACTCCTCCGCTCTCATTACCAAAAGCGAGAGCACTCATTACCAAAAGCGAGAGCAAATGATAACGGTATCTCCTCCTCCTCCTCCTCCTCCTCCTCTTCCTCCTCCTCCTCTTCCTCCTCCTGGTTATTATCGTCTTTCCTCCTCAATCCTCCTCATCCGCATCCACCTCTTGTCATTCCTCTGCCACAAGAGAGGTCAGAGAAGGTCCGAGAAAGTCGGGTGGAGGAAAAACGTAGTGCGGCTATCGGAGCGGACCTTTTTGCACCCCTGTGGGGGGCGCCAACCCGCAGTGGGCCAGCGAAAAGCCAAACCTCGAAAGAAAAGACAGGCAGATGTAGCGAACCCGACCAGGAGGGGTAAACAAGGAGTGAACAGGACACGGCTAATGAATCAAGGACGCCAAGGAAGGCTGCTTTCGAAACTGTTGCACCAGGCGAGCTAAGACAGCTATATGCGAAGAATCCCGGACACTTTCAAGGAGCAGCAGACACTGCAGACCAAGTTCAACCAGCAAAAGATAGACGTCGGCTGGTCGGTGGGAAGCGGTAAGGGGTGGAAAAGCATCGCACGAATTCGAACGTCGGAGGAGCAAGGAGGAGGAGGAGGAGGTGGAGGAGGAGGAGGATAAAGAGGAGGAGAAAGATGAGGAGGGGGAGAAGTGTACCAGAAAGAGGGCCGCCGGGCCATCGCCCACCTCGAACAACAGAACAACATCATGGTACGTGAGATTTCGGAGGTCCACCGGATGTCTTGGACTGGCGCTTCACCCCATCTTTCTGTGGCAATGTTCGAGCCGCATCGATCTGTGAGGGTCCCGGGGCCCGACACCAGGCGCAAACGCCGTGCATGCAACAGTTGCAACGCCCAGATGTCAAGGATCGGGGGTCGCAAACCCATCGCCGGACCTCTCCTGGGCTGCGTTCTGTCCAGAATTTCGAGGCGGATCCAGCCGTGGCAACGAGAAGCCTCCCGGGAGCCCAAAAGTGCAGGAAAAAACTCGATCCTTGAGCAGACCTCCAAAGTCATGATTCTCCATGACGTGGAGCCCGAAATGTCTGGACCTATTCCCCAAGACCGGCTTTTCATCCCCCCGAGCCCTCTTTTGACGGCCCTGGAGCCTGGTAAGTAAGTTGGGCGCCCGAGCTATCCGGGGTAACTCGGGTCCGGGGTAACTCGGGTTTGGATTCCCGAAAAACGAACCCGAGTTAGCCCTGACCCGAGATACCCCTGATGAGTTGGGGCTCTGGACGCCCGAATTATCCGGGGTAACTTGGGCCTGGGGCAACTGGGGTTGGGATTCCCGAAAAAACGAACCCGAGTCAGCCCTGACCCGAGTTACCCCTGATGATTCGGGGCTCTGAGTAGGGGCCCTAGGAGGCAGAAAATAAAAAACAACGGCCCTCATGATTGTGACGTAGCCCGAGGCGGGCCTGGGGTCGGCGGCGAGCCCGGGGGGAAGTGAGGGGGGACGGGCCTTCTCAGAAGGCTCGGAAGTCCCCCAGCCTCCTGAGAAGCTTTCTGAGCCTTCTCCGAAGACGCAATCAACTTCTCGGAAGGCCGGAGGGCTTCCGAAAAAAAAACGTCACCTTCTGAGAAGGCCTTCTGCTTCTCACCTCCCCCCCGCTCGCCGCCGAAAAGGTCGCTCTGAGCCTTCTCCGAAGACGCAAAATCAACTTCTCAGACGGCTGGAGGGCTTCTGAGAAGCCCCGTCGCCTTCTGAGAAGGCCTCCTCCTTCTCACCTCCCCCCCATCGCTCGCCCCTGAAGCCGCCGCCGAGGATTCGTCCAGGCATGCCACCGCCGATGGGGATTCAGCAGCAGCCGCAGCCGATCGGCGTCGTCATGCCGCCCATAGTCCCCAGTGTGGGGGGGTCGCTCGTGGCATCGGGGGAAGGAGGCCTCAGTGGCAACTTCTGGGGGTGGGGGGGGGGGGTAGGCTCAGGGCGAAGGGGGGGAGGCCTCCTTCTCCCCCCTCCCCCCCCTCCCGCGCTCGCCGCCGATCGGTGGCAGTTCGCTTGCTCGGCTCGGCTCCCCACCTCCTCCTCCTCCTCCTCCTCCTCCTCCTCTCGCTGCCTCCTCCTCCTCCTCCTCCGCCTCCTCCTCCTCCTCGCTCCGCCTCCGCCTCTCCCCTCCTCCTCCTCCTCCTCCCTCCTCCTCCTCCTCCTCCGGCCCGCGTCCCCCGCCCTTCTCCCCTGAGGGCTCGGCGGGCGCACTGCCGCCGGGGTCGCTGCTCGCCCAGGGCGCCCAGCAAAACGCCTGGGCGCCGTCCTCGCGGGAGGGGGAAGGGATGGTATGGAGTGTGTCGAGGAGGAGGGGCTGTCCCTCTCTCTCTCTCTCTTTTCTCTCTCCTCGCTTGGTGGTGGGGGGGAGAGGGAGGAGGTCGAGTCGGGGGATGCCCTCTCTCTCTCTCTCTTTCTCTCTCTCGCTGGGGGGGGGAGAGGGAGGAGGTCGAGTCGGGGGGTGCCCTCTCTCTCTCTCTCTCGCTGGGGGGGGGGGAGAGGGAGGAGGTCGAGTCGGGGGATGCCCTCTCTCTCTCTCTATCTCGCTGGGGGGGGGGAGAGGGAGGAGGTCGAGGAGGGGGGTGCCCTCTCTCTCTCTCTCTCTCTCTCTCTCTCTCTCTCTCTCTCTCGCTCCCTCTCATGCCCTGGCCTGCTTTCCAGCTGTGCGCAGTCCCGACCTGGCCGCGCTGGGGGGGGAGGTGTGTCTCGCCCCCCCTCCGTCTTGCATGTGCGGCACCTCCCGCCACATGAGGTGGACGAAGCGTGGCGCTTGCAGGGGGATGCCCAGGCACAGAGGAGGGAGGGGGGGAGAGGGGGGGGGGGGAGACCAGCTATGGGTGCGCTCGCGCCGTGTCTGGCATCCGATCCCTCCCTTCCATCTCTTCCCCCTGCGCTGACGCGTGTTCTCCATCCGCGGACGCGCGTCATGGCCAGCCTGGAACTCCAACGAGGACGAACAGCAGCGGCGGGAACTGGAGTGGAAGGAGCGGGAGGAGCAGGAGTTGAAGGTCGCTGTGGGGGCAGCGTTGCTTCCAGGGCAGGATCCCCGTACGATCGGCGGGCGCGCTTGATCGGTCAACAGCAATCCTTACAGCCGCCCTTCGCGAGAAGCTCTGATTTCGGGTTTGCTCTTGCCGACGATTGGGCTGCTCATGCTTACTCTTGCCTTACAAAAGCATTGCCCTCTCCCCCGTCGCCCCAGAAACACAGATCGCGTTCGCTGCCCCTCAGCGAGCTTCAAAGCAGGAGGACCCAGGGAAGGCGGGGGAGGGGAAAGGAGGATAGCGACAACGATGGAAAGAAACTCGGATCCGGAACAAGAGCCCACGCTCGGGCGGGGGCATCAGTCTATCATTCTGAGCAGCAGAACCAGAGCACCGATCCGAAGATAAGGCCCACGCTGCAGCGGGAGGCACCGTGCGAAGCACATCCGCCCCCCCCCCTCACCGACCTCCACCCGCCCTTCATCTTCCGTGGGCGCCGATCTCACCAATATCCGACTCTCAAATATATCCCCCACCGCGAAGCCTACAGGCGCGGTGTGCGCCGCGTGGATGAAGGCGAGCTCGGGCGGAAAGTTCGACTTGGCGTCCTGCGTGGCGCCTGGCTGCGGTCACCCTCCTCCTCCTCCTCCTCCTCCTCCTCCTCCTCCTCCTCCTCCTGACTCCTGGTTCCTGGTGGCTGCAGGATCCTCCGGATGTAACCTCTCCCCCCTCCCCCAGCGCCGGTCGGCCCTAGGTGGGTGATCACACTAGGGCCACGTGAGCCCTGGAGCACCGCTCCATTCTCCACCTCCTCCCCCTCGTAATTGCCATGTTCTCCTCCCTCCTCCCCGCCTCTTCCCTCCGCCCAAACGCCCTCCTCCGCCCCCCACGACGTCCTCATCATGCCCTGCTTCTCCTCCTCCTCCTCCTCCTCCTCCTCCTCCTCCTCCTCCTACTTCTCCCCGCCTGTAATTACCCCTCCCTCCACTCTGGAGGAGGAGTGGCGAAGAGGAGGAGGAGGAGGAGGAGGAGGACCAGTGCAAACCCAAGACTCATCAACAATGTTGCAGTAAACCCTCCCTCCCAGCTCTCTCTTCATAGTCCCTACAAGGATGCATGTTTCACTGAGGGAAGTGCCCCGTTGGAAGACAACCGTCTGAAAATCCTGAACCGCCAGAACGCCACTCCTGCGACGTTCAACGCCACGAATCAACGTTACTGTTGCGTCCTGGCGCTCCTGAATCGCACCAGAACACCATTCCTGGGACTTCGACACAGCGAATCAACGTAACTGCTGCACTCTGACGATCTTACATCGTACCAAAGCGCTATGTCTGGGACGTCGACCTACAGAATCCTTGAAACTGCTGCAAACTCTGAAGACGAATTTGCGCGACGCTGGGGCGAGAACGACATTTCGAAAAAATACCGCCCTCAATCCGTGAAGCTGTTGCAAACACCTCCATCCGTGAAGCTCTTGCACATGTTCGAAACGAATGTGCGCGGCACTGTAAAGCGAGAGCCACATTTAGAAAACGGCCCGCCCTCCATCCGTGAAGCTGTTTCGCATTCTACGCTTCAGGATCATAACCGGTGAGGAAGTCAGTCTCAGGCGAAACGGCCGGCCCAGCCTTTCGACCGGCCTCGGGGTGCGACGGGGAGGAGTTCATTACTTATAAGGAGAATGAATATGGAGGAAGAGGAGGAGAAGGGGACGAGAAGGAGGCACCCCTCCCGCCTCGCCTTCCCTCTGCACCGGCCGCCGCGAGCCCTCCCGGCCCAGGAGACCACTCAGCGGCGCCACGGCCTGCGACAACCCCTCCCCCGCCGCCTTCCACCCCCCCTCCGGGCAGGCGCTGCCGCAGGTGCTCCCGCGCGCGCGTGGGACGGGGCGGCGGAGGAGGAGGAGGAGGAGGAGGAGGAGGAGGAGGAGGTGCCTCGTCTCCAGAGGTCCCCCATTGGATGCCTCCGAAGGGCCCCCGGGAGACGGGCGCGGGAGCGGGCATCTGCAGAGGTCCTCGCGGAGGCCGCCGAAGCCCACGGAAGCCTTCAGAACCACAAGGGGATGCGAAACGGAATGTCCCAAGCATGGGTCCTCTTCGTCGTCAACGCCCTCTTCTTCGTCCTTCCCCTCCTCCCTCTCCCCCTCCTCCCAGTTCTCTATCTCTCTCTCTCTCTCTCTCTGTCTCTCTCTCCCTCTCCCGCTCCCTCCCCATCCCCCTTCCCCCTCTCCCTCTCTCTTCAGCCTCTCTCCCTTTCTCTTCATCCTCTCCTCCTCCTTCGCCTCGTCTTCATTGTCAAAATCCTCTTTCTCTCCCTTCCCCTCCCCATCCACCTTCTCCTCCGCGTCCACTCACTCTAGCTTTTCATATATATATATATATATACACATCACTCCAAGTCGCTGTTTCTAACATGTGTATGTGCATACACACATGTGTATGTGTGTGTATGCACATGCATGTATATAGTTACGCCCTGCTTCTGCTCAAACTCCTCTCTCGCTCGCGCTCGCACCCACCCCCCTCTCTGTATGTGTTGTTTTGTGCGTGTGGGTGTGTTGTTTGTTTGTTTGTTATCATTTGCATATCTCTCATGTACATAAATTTATATGAGTTGGCAGGCACACCAATATTCACATACATACATATGCACACATACACATACAAATACATACATGCATGCATGCAGACATGCATGCATACAAACATACAACCATGCATGCATGAGTTAAGTGGTATGTAACCACATGTATGTGTATGTAACCGCACGTATAGAGATCCATGCATGTGAACAAATGAAATTATATGTCTAAATAGACTTGTATCGTTGTGTTCCTCCTGCTCTTGCAGTTGCTCCTGCTCCTGCCCTCCCAATTTTCTTCCCGTTACCTCGTTCCGTCCCTCCATAATCCCTCTCCTTTCCCCCCTCCTCGTCCTCCTCCTTCTCCTCCTCCTGCTCCTCCTCCTCCCCTTCCTCCTCTCCTCATCTTCCTATCTCCTTCTCCTTCCTCCTCCTCCTCCTGCTCCTCCTCCTCCTCCTGCTCCTCCTCCTCCTCCCCTTCATCCTCTCCTCATCTTCCCTGTCTCCTTCTCCTTCCTCATCCTGCTCCTCCTCCTCCTCCTCCTCCTCCTCCTCCTCCTGCTCCTCCTCCTCCCCTCCTTCATCCTCTCCTCATCTTCCTATCTCCATCTCCTTCCTCATGCTGCTCCTCCTCCTCCTCCCCTTCATCCTCCCCTCATCTTCCCTACCGCCTTCTCCTTCCTCATCCTGCTCCTCCTCCTGCTCCTCCTCCTCCTCCCCTTCCTCCTCTCCTCATCTTCCGACCTCCTTCTTCCCTTCCTCATCCTCCTCCTCCTGCTCCTCCTCCTCCCCTTTCCTTTTCCTCATCTTCCCTATCTCCTCTCCTTCCTCCTCCTGCTCCTGCTGCTCCTCCTCCTCCTCCTCCTCCTCCTCCTCCTCCTCCTCCTCCTCCTCCTCCTCCTCCTCCTCCTCCCCTTCCTCCTCTCCTCATCTTCCCTATGTGTTTCCTTCTCCTTCCTCCTCCTCCTCCTCCTCCTCCTGCTCCTCCTCCTCCTTCTGCTCCTCCTCCTCCCCTTCCTCTTCTCCTCATCTTCCCTATCTCCTTCTCCTTCCTCCTCCTGCGCCCCCCCCCCCCCCGAGAGGGCGAGCGATAGCGGCGCCGATCCGCGACGGATCCCACACGCGCGCGCAGCGGTCTGCGCCGGCGGACACCAGCAGCACGCGGCCTGCGGCGGGAGGGGCGAGGGAGGGGGAGGGGAGAGGGAGAAGAAAACGGGAGGGAGGGGAGGACGAGAGCAGAGGGAGAGGAGAAGGAGAAGAGGGAGGAGAGAAGAGGGAGAAGAGAGGAGAAGAGGGAGAGGAGAGGAGAGGAGAAGAGGGAGAAGAGAAGAGGGAGAGAGCAGAGGGAGAAGGAAAGGGGAGGGGAGGACGGGGAGCAGGGAGGAGGAGAAGGGACAGGAGGCGGCGAGGAGAAGGGACAGAAGGGAGCAGGGAGGAGGAGAAGGGACAGAAGGGGATGAGAAAGAGAGAGGAGGGGGAGGAGGAGGAGGAGGAAGAGGGGTGGGAGGAAGAATACGGGGAGGAGGAGGAGGAGGTGGAGAAGGAGGAGGAGGGGCGTGGGCGTCGATCTTTAGATGAAGCAGAGCTCAACCTCAAGGCTTCCGTGACGAGGATCTCGCGCCTCCGGGGGAGGTCTGGCGGTGGAACGCGTCGCACCTGACAGCCGTGTCGGCGGCGTCGAAGTCGTCCAAATAGTCACCGAGCGAAACCGGTTCGGATTGGAAGCATATTGGATCGCTGGGGAATCACCCCGAATCGAATTGAAATCAGATTGCGGCGCCCGGCTCCAGCAGGCGATGCCGCTGAATCGAACCAGAGAGAATCGGATCGCACTCGCGGGCCCAGCCGGCGAATCAAAACGCATCGAATCGGGTCGTAAGCAGCCCTGACCAGTCGACGAGGATGTCGACGTCGTCGTGCGATAGGGCGACCACCGCACACGCGTGAACGTCGCTGGCGTCGGGCGGCAAGTCGACGTGGGTCCTGCCTGCTGGATCATCGGGATCGTCATCGCCCGAGTGATATGGAAAGGCCGTGTTTGGGGACACTAAAACAGCCGCGGAGGGACACATCAGCATTGTTTTCAAAATGTTGTCGCGCTCGGGACTCTCTTATGTGTATGATCGTGAAGCGAAGCGATACCTCTGCACAAGTGACACGGGAAGAGAAACGGCCGCGGAGGAAGGAACGTCAACCCAGTAAACAACCGGGGGGAGGGGTGAAAAGGAGGGGACGGGAATGGGCAAGGGGAGTGGGGAAACCTAACTATACCAACACTGCAGCTCCCCGGACCTCTCCCAAGGTGGGTTCAGAACAACAATTCGAAACGAATCCAGCCGTGACGACGAGGGCCTGCCAGGAGGCGCAAGAAGGCGAAGACGAGGCAAGGGTAGCGGTGTCGGTACCTTTTCCTCCTCCAGACGTGATTTGCACCAAAGTTGACTTTCTCGCCGAATCCTCCAAGACGTGTACTTGTCATGGGTCTACGCAGCTGATAAGCACTGCTCGTGAAACAATCGGAACTTCAATGTGGGGATACATCAGCTGTCGGGGCGCAGCCGCTTCCCCATCGGGTAGCTCGTGCTCTTGGGCAGGCGAGGTCAGGCGCTCGCCGTTGGGGCGCTCGAGGAGCCATCGTCGCCCCGCATGTGCGTCCGACGCTCCGACCCTGGCCTTCGTGAGGAGGGTGGGGAGGAGAAGGAAGCGAGCGTAGGGTGGGACGCACAAAGACATAGTGGTACGACATGTTCTCCTTGGAGGCGCGCGTCCGACCCGGACATATAGTATACCCATCTTGTGGCACACTGCATCGTTTCCCGAGCGGCGTGGCCAGAAAACGCCCGCCACGACGCATGTGCTACGATATTTCTCGGTGCGCGCATCGCCCCCCAGGGGGACGACGCACACCTAGCATAGGTATGTTGGGGTGACGCCGATAGGGACCGCGTGTCTCCCCCCCTACAGCCACGGCAACGGCGGCTGGCGCGCCTCGCGGGCGCGCGCGGGCACGCTGAGGCCGTCGAAGCCCCCGAAGGGTGCATCGGCGGGAAGCGAGACAAGAGAGGCGCAATGGAGAGGAATAGGAGGAGGAGGAGGAGGATTTTTTTTGACCTCCACGGGCCCACCGCATAGTGCAAGCAACTGGCAGTGCGGGACCTGCCAGCTCTGAGAAATACCTCGCCTCGGCGAGAGCCGCTATGGGGAGGGGGCTTCGCGAGTTCCTTTCGGAGCGCCCACTATGGCCCCCTCCCCGCACGGATCGACCCTCGGCTCGGACTCTCACTGTCTGGCAGACCCGCCAGAGACAGTGCACAAGAAAAATACGGCTTTGGTCTCACGGCTCACCACACAAGTAACCACACCTGCCATTAGTGGCGAATGACAGGAGAAGAACAAACACCAGCTGGACCATCAGCTGGCAAAAAGATCGGCAACGCGGAGAGCATCCTGAGCGGACAGGCGGTCGCCGCTTAGATCGCGGAGCCGCGACCTATGCCACAACAGCCTGAGGGCCGAGGAGGCAAAGCACGGCCGAGGATAAGATTGAGAACAGAAAACTGAATTAGAATGGGTGGCTGCGCAGGAACGGCAACCACACAAGAAGACGGGCGCACGCCTGCCAAAAGAAAAGGGCAGGCTAGAACGCTGCAAGTCAATCCGATCCCGACCCCGCCTCCACAGCCCCACCCGTTCCCATATCATCCGCCTCGCGGCGGAGAGAAGCAGCAATGCGCCTCAAGCACTCCCTGGTGGCAGCGGCCGAGGCGACCACAACACTCGAGGAAGAGCTGGGCGCAACGCTGCAGACAGGAACGCCTGCAACAGAAGCAGTAGCAGACTCTGCGGAGCGGGCAGGCTCCTGCCCTCCAGCGCTGGCAGCACTACCTGTCGAGCCAGAGGGGGCGGAGCTCTTGTCACCATCCTCCGTAAAATCAGGATTCGCAACCAAATACGAGTTAAAGCAGCGCACAAGAGAGGTATCATCAACTGTAACACCTTTACTCGACCGGGAGTAGTGTGGATGAATTCCCTTACACAAGGCAGCCCAACCAAGACGACCCGCGCGGGAAGGCTTCTTACAGACTTCCCCTAAGCCTCTAACCCTGCCACCAGTGGAGTGGCATTTGCATTTCAGGCATATGAATAACACTGACTTATCTGAGCAGTCGAAGGCAACAGTTCTGTGCCCTAGAGCATCCTGCCGCGCGGCATGCAACTTAGACTCCTGGGGGCATCGACCAGGGGAAGGGCGTGTCGTGCCCCTACTCCCACGGAGGCAAACTGCACACCTCCAGACACCAGCCCAGTTTTCCCAACGATGACCTACCTTACTGAAGGTGCCTGAATGCTCAGCAGGAGGGGGAGGGAAATAAGGAACGTCAAGAGCGAGCTTAGGCCATAACGGAAGCAAGTTAGCAGCAAGGATGCAATAACCCCTGGCCGCTTCCACAAGCTTGTCAACATTGGCTAATTCAGACGGGTCAGAAGGGTGAAGCTGAAGGGCATGTTTGGTACCAGCATCAGCGTCAGCATTTCCACGCCTGAGAAAACGTTCTCTCTCCGAGATGCCCTCCTGATGGACATCTAAATGAGCTTTGACCTTTACAATGCCTTCCAAAAGACGGCCCTCAAAGTTGTTGGCACACATAATCATTCCTGAATACGACCTCTTGCCCGAGTATCTCTCTGGCAAGGGCAACGTACTATGAGACACGACATTGGCACAGTCCGAGTAAATAGTGGTCGGCAACACCAGGAACTGAGCGGCGACGCATCTGGCAGCATATTCAGCCGCCTGAGGCGTCTGAGGAAGATGAGCCCAGACAGGGCCTCTCGCCTCTCCAAGGCAAGTACCATCATCGGCGTTCATTGAAACAGCATAGGCAGCTCTTGAAAGTTCTTTGATCGGGTGACGCTGGCAGGACCCATCAATGAAGACATGACCCCACATTTCCCCGTTCACTGGGACCCTGGGACCTTCAGGGCTTTGAAGCTCGTCACAATGCCAAACGAACTGAAGGGCATTCGTTCCCTCCACGACAGGACGCGGCAAAACATCGGCGGGATGAGCGAAAGCTCCTCTAGTATATAGTGCTCGCACGTGAGGGTCAGGTTCCGCCTGAGCTGTCCACACGGCGATGGCGTCTAGCACAACTGAGGCCGGGACCAGCTGAGTCCGCAACTCTTGAGCTTCCGTCGCCGTGCACTGCCAAATCCTGTGAAACACTGAATCGGGCGCAGCAGAGCAGAGAGGGCAGAGCGGGTCGACCTGATACCCACATGCCAGGGCCTTGTCCGCAGGCCAAATAGCATCACAAGAGCATGCTCGAATCCAGCCCCTCTGCGCTGGCGTGAACTTCTTACTGACACAAGCAGCTTTGGGAATGTCCAGGCACGCCCTGCATTCTAGCCCCCATTTCCCCCCGAGATCACGCTCGAGCCCACGAAGGTAGGCCTCTTTGCACAAGGTTTCCAAAAGCTTGGGGGGAATCAAACCGAGCTGCAAACGGTATCCTCGGTCATCGGAAATCGTGGCATAGTCTTCCATGATCCAACCAAGGCGAAGGAGGGTAAGGCGAAGAGCAGACACTGGGCCCTTCACAGTTGGCCAGGTAACCCTGGGCAACGCGAAAACACTCCTGAAGCCGTCTCGGAGCTCCCGATGAGGAATGGACCAGGGGAACTCACGGGTTTGGGCCAACCAGACCTCCTTGCTCCAGCGCAGAAGGGGGGCCGACGCAGCTCGCCAGCAAGGGTCGTCCGACAAAATGCTGACAGCCGTGAGAGACCTACTTTTAGCAAAAGGCCTCACCGTCTTGAAGGCTTGCCGCCTCGTAGTCAGGAGGACCTGGTCGCTCACCCCCAGGATGTCCGCCCCATAGGCCCCTCCAGGGAGGGGACCCGAGGCGAACACTCTGAGGGCTTTGCGACCAAGGTTGCCTGCCTGACGCTTGAGACGACGAGCTTTCCTGCAAAGAAGCGCCACGCGGCTCTTGAGCTTCGAGCTACGCCCAGAGGCCCTGACCGAGGCGCCAGCACAGTAGTCAACTCCAAGGTTCACAGTCGAGGCAGTGATCTTGCCTCCTAATTGACCAAGAGCAGCAGACAGCGCGGTGGCCAGGCCTTTGGAAGACGCAACAGTGCATATCTTGTCTAGCGCCAGCTGACAATTCATTTCATTCTCATCAGTAATAGCATGATGGAGAGCGAGAGAGACGGCAACTATGGAAGAAATCACATGCTTTCGAGACCCCGTGCAAGACACTCCAGTATCATCTATATAGATGTCGAAGTCTTGAGATGGAAACGAGGGGAGCTTATCGAAAGAAGACATACCATATATGCGTATATGTGTCGTGGCCATGCTGCAGCCTGCGATGACTCCTTTCTGCACAAAGTGCGGCCCATCCAAGAGGCCGGCGATGGAGACGAAGCGGCCGCACCTGTACGCATAAAGGGTGAGCCTAGTCAACACTATCGGGAAATTGTGTTGGTGGCAACGCTGCTCAAGCACGTCTAAATCAATCGTTTCATAATACTTGAGCATATCATAGAAGACGCTGGCACTCTCTTCCCCTTTAGAGGTCCCCGTCTCCGAGCGAAACGATTGGCGCCAGACCACATCAGCTGCTCCGCGAAACGCCCCAGCAGCCCAGTACCGACGGGGGTGTTGCTGCTCCCAGTATAAGGCTTGGGGACGCCTCAGGCGCCCCCAGACCCTATACCAGGAGCAGAACACCCCTATCGGTCTGTAGCCGCCGCTGGGTTTCGAGAGCAGGGCAATCAACACCGCGGAGATCTGGCGCGGAAGCTGGCCAACCGACTCCATCAGCTGAAAGAGCATGCCAAGCGCAACCAGCCCAGCATCACACAGAAGGTGAAAGTGACGGCAATCAAAACCGTCGTAAGTGACAGCCGAGGTTTTCTTATATGTCTTACTAACGGCCCGCAACTGAGCAGGAGGAGGAGGAGGAGGAGGAGGAGGAGGAGGAGGAGGAGGTGGAGCGTGGCGGTGGAGGAAGAGGAGGAGGGGGAGGAGGAAGAGGAAGAAGAAAACAGGAGGGGCAACAACGTGAGACGGATGGCGAGAAGGAAGACGATGACCAAGAAGGACAACAGAAAGAGACGGATAATGAGGAAACGTTATTCCGCTGAGTTTGGCGCCGTGGCGCTCCCGTCAAACACTGCACACGCCTTCCTGGACGACCAAACAGCACGAGCGGGTGGTTGACTATGCTGCGTCCAAGGCTACAAGGACAGCCGCGAGGGCCGACGTCGCACCACGCACCTCAAAGCGGGCATGCCCCAACATGGGAGACGTTCGTGCCTCCCCGTGTCGTTGCACACCATGTTGGACCCACACAAATCCAGCAGAACCATCGCGATACCAGAAGCAACCGTCGATGCACAGTCAGATGCTGCACCCACACCTTGGTGTACTAGTATCTCGCAGTCGTTCGCTGTCGACATGTGTGCTTGCTAGAGCGCTAGTCGACGATGTCTGCCATCCCACCTGCCCCCAGCCGCCGAGGAGGAGTGGCGCGAACGTTGGGCCGAGGTGGAGGCATGATGCTGATGTTGGTGGTGGTGGTGCTGTTGCTGCTGCTGATGTTGATGATGGGGATGATGCTGATGCTGCTGCTGCTGCTGCTGCTGACGACGACGACGACGACGATGATGATGATGATGATAATGATGCTGATGATGATGATGATGCTGATGATGCTGATGATGGCGATGGCGATGGCGATGGCGATGCTGATGCTGCTGCTGATGATGATGCTGATGATGACGATGACGATGACGATGATGGTAATGATGATGGTGATGATGAGGATGATGATGAGGATGTTTCGGATAAGGAGGAGAAGGTCGAGCTGTTTGGCCCGCTGCTATTCTCCTTCCCGCCGAGAGGAATTGAGGGAGGGAGAAGATGAGGACGATGAGGAGGAGGATGAAGAGGAGTGAGCGAGGGAGGAGAAGGATGGGAGCGCTGTGAGAGGAGAGGCGGACGAGGAGGAATGAGGGAGGAACGAGGGCGGAAGGAGGTAGGAGGAAGGAGGTAGGGGGAAGGAGAGGAGGAGAAGTAGGACGAGGGCAGCACGCGGCTCGCAAGGGGCCCGAGGCAGCAGCAGGGAGAACCGACAAGCGCGTCCAGCCTCTGCTCTCCCGAATGCTCTGGGAGAGAAGCGGGCGCGGTGCGGGCAAGATTTAAGTCCATATCCACTGCGTCGTCGACTTCCTTGGAGGGAGCGCCAGAAAAAAAGGCCGAGGCGCAGAGGATGTGGGCAAACATCGAGCCTCTAGCGGCCAGACTTTTGTCCAAATCCACTGCGCCTCTGGTTTCTGGGGAAGGGTGCCCGAAACTCCAAGACGCAACGGAAATGAATATACCATATATCTATAACGGCCACCTTTCGGGTGATAAGGAAGTCAGGGGGGAAAGAACTGACTGAGGACAACTGCGATGATTGTGATGATGGCGATGCTGGTGAGGCGCTCACGAGCTGGCGACGATGCTGACGGGACACCGACGGGACACCGTCGGGACACCACGGCGGGACACCCCCAGCCAACGCCCGCGGACGCCAACGGGATACCGACAGGACACCACGGCGGGACACGCCTGCCCACGCTGGCCCACTGGAGGGGCGGTCTTTTTGTTCTGACCCGCCCTGGCCACCACGGAGTCACTCTTCTCGCCCGCACACGCAGCTTCGCCTTGCCCGCGCGCGCGACGCGGACCCGAAACCGAAACCGAATTCCCGGTGGGGAATTATCCGTTCCGCTGCGATCCTTCCCCCAGCCTCTCCGATCCTCGCCATCGTCTTCGTCCTCTTGATCCGCCTCATCATCCTTGTCCTCGTCCTCGTCCTCGTCCTCGTCCTCGTCCTCGTCCTCCTCCTCCTCCTCCTGTTCCTCCTTCTCCTCCTCCTCCTCCTCCTCATCCTGCTCCTCCTTCTCGTCCTCTTCCTGTTGTTCTTCTTTCCTGAACGGGGGGGGGGGGGCGGAGCCTCGATCTTCAAACCAGCACAGGCTCACGATGCCGTGGTCCAGGGCATTTTTTTCGACCTCGGCGCGCAGTCGCCGGTTTCCCGCTGCGCATCTCCGCCCGGGAGGAGGCCGAAAGTGGGAGGAGGAGGAGGAGGAGGAGGAGGAGGAGGAGGAGGAGGAGAAGGAGGAGGAGGAGGAGGAGGAGGAGGAGAGGAGGACGAGGAGGAGGAGGAGGAGGAGGAGGAGGAGGAGGAGGAGCAGCAGCAGCAGCAGCAGCAACAGCAGCAACACACAAAAACTTCAAGCCGTTTGGACCTTTTGGAAGAAGCGTGTGGTTCGGGCTGGGGCCGGTACGCCCCTTTCGTCATTCCGCCCGTTGGCCATGATGCTGCCACATGATATGCTTTCTGCTTCGAAACCTTTTTTAAATGCTGCCGCAGTAGGAGGAAAGCGGACGCAACCTCCTGGCCAGGTCCGTCAGCAGATTCGACGCTGCGGCGCGGCCCCAATCCGCCCGTGAGGTCAAGCGCTAACCTCAGGGCGCGGCGGGCGGCACCGACTGCGGCCTGTTGCCTGCTGCAGGGGATCGGGAGCGGGCCGCTTCGCCACGTGGCACACGCAGGTGGCCACGGACCGCCTGGCCACCGCGTTGGGGGAGGAGGAGGAGGAGGAGGAGGAGGAGGAGGAGGAGGAGGAGGAGGAGGAGGAGGAGGAGGAGTGAGAGGAGGAGGAGGAGGAGGAGGAGGAGGAGGAGGGGGGGGAGGGGAGGAGGAGGAACAGGAGGAGGCGGAGACGGAGGCGGAGGCGGAGGAGGAGGAGGAGGAGGAGGAGGAGGAGGAGGAGGAGGAGAAGGAGGAGGAGGAGGAGGAGGAGGAGGAGGAGGAGTTGTCACTCACGTCGCCGCCGCGGTGGCAGCGGCGCTTCGCCTGGAGGACGCGCGTGCGAGGCGGCGACGCGGCGTGGCCCGCGCGCCTGCCAACATGTCGGTGGCCGGCCACGCCTGGGCGGGAGGCAGGGCGGCCAGGCACCCGCGGGGCCTCTTCCGTCGCGCACGTGGGTCATGTGGGATGCTTTCGAGGTGTCGGGTTCCGGTCTGCTCAGGCTCGTAGAGGTCGTCGGGCTGGCTCGGTTCGCCGATGTCGTCGTCGGTGCTTTCGGGCGCCGCGTCGACGACGTCGTCGCTGGCCCAGCGACGCCAGGCGCGGCGAATGGCGGGCCCTTGCAGGCACAGCGACGTCTGGTCGCGAGCCTCCTCGGCCGCGGCCGGCGGGGGCGCGCCGCGATGTTCCAGGAGCGTGCGGCCGATGGCGGCGTCTCCCCGGGCTTGGCGGCGCATCTCCGCGGCGAGACGACGGCAAAGGAGGTCGGTCACGCGCGAGGGCCGGAACTCGCCGAGGCCGAGCGCGTCGCATAAGGGCTCCGTGCGCCATCGTATACAGTCAGCCTCGCCGTTGATCTGGCGGTTGGCGAAGATGAGGTCTGGCAGCCAACGCGCGTCCCAATCGCGGGCTCGCGCCAGCAGTGGCTCTCGTCGGAGCTCGGCACGCGCGCGGGGTCCGTCGAGCGGCGCGCGCGAACTGGCGAGGAGCATCGAGGGGGCGGGGGCCAGGCCTGCAGGCGGCGCCCAGTGGCGTCGCCAATCGTGTCTGAGGAGAGCTTTTCGTGGAGCGCGGCGAGGCAGGCTTTCTGAGGGGCGGCAGGGCGAGCGCGTCTATCATGCAGGTCAGGGTCAGCAGCGCGACGATGAAGAATGGCATGGCGCCCTGCTCGGGTGGCTTGCTTGCGGGCGACGATGATGACGGCTCGCGCTCGAGAGCGGGGTCCAGCTGTTCGATTGAGCCGAAGGAAGTACGAGCCCTCGCCAGCGGCGAAATACGCGGAGCGCGCGACGCCCTCGAAGCTCTGCACGATCGCGGCCTTGACCTCCCAGCACCCATTGCACCGCGGGCTCTGCTGCGTGGTGGCGATGGGGAGCTCGGGGTAGTCGGCGCCGCAGGGTGTCTGTAGTGCTGTCCTCCATTCTGTCATAATGGCCATCGCAGTCCTCCACATTGTTGCTGCCAGGTGCGTTTCAATGCCGTTCGAGGCTTCGATATTGGTCCAGAGGGCTATGGCAAGTATGTCAGATTTCGCGAATCTCTACGGCGCGACGCGCAACAGCTTGTGGAAGTCCTGGAGCTGCCTCCGCAGGATGCCGTCTGGCGGCTCGAAGAGTTGCCCTGCGTAGCCGAGGCAGGTGGCGGCGACGGTGCGCCGCTCGATGCATTGCTGGGGCGGCGCGCGAGAGGTGGCCAGCTTCTCGGCGCGGCCGCGCCGCTTTACAGATGGGCCACACCATTGGTCAGCCAGCGTGGCTCCTGGGCCAATGAAGCAAGCTTGGTAGCGCACCTTGGCCTCGAGCTTGAAGTCCTTGCAGCGTTGGCGGGCGCTGGCCAGAACCTGGCGCCTCTCGGAGATGAAGCCCTGCGATGGGAAAATCCAGGTCGGGGCGACGATGAACTTCTCGGGCTGCAGGCAGAGGCCAGCGAGCGACCCGGCGGCGAAAGGGCGAGGGGCATGCTTGCTGGTGTCACGGTGCTTGGGGGGGCGATGCCTAGGTCGTCGGCGCAGGCGCAGCGAAGGCCACGCCCGACCTGCCGCAGCTCGCGGCCGACGGCGACGATGAAAAGGCCGAAGGCGCGAGCCCGCGTGGCGCCGCTCAAGGGACATCCTTGCGCAACACCCAGGTCTGAAGCTGGCGGAAGGGCGGCGGTCTCCCCCAGATCCAGGCACGCGACGGGCCAGCGGTAGCAGGCTTGCAGCAGATTCGCCATGCTGTCACTGATGCCACATCTTGCGGGCGTCTCCCACGCGCGCTGGCGGCCGGGGCTGGGGGGGGCCGCCGCGATGTTCATGCTGGCGATGACGGGCATGTCGATGTTCGCCGTGGGAGAGAGACTGATTCGTTGAGCCTCAGCGCCGGCGGCAACTACACTGGCCCAGAACAGGCGGCCGTTGACGAGGCCCTGCTGCTTGGGGGGCCGTCTGGGCAGCAAGCTGATGGAGCTGGCGGTTGGACGCTGATGCCAGTGCCTTCGCGCCGGCGCTCAGGGGCGCGGGGGGCGCGGGCGCGCTCCGCGCGGCCGAGCGGCTCGCCCCCGCTGGGGAGCATGGCCATGAGGGTGTAGTTGAGATGGCGCGGGATGTTGCCGTTGCGGCGACTTCGAAACCGACGTCGGCGAGGGCGTCGAAACTGCGCGGGGCGCGCAGCCAGGCGCGGCACGGATCGCCGCCAGGCCCAGGGGCTTTAAAACGCCCGCGACGCACGCAACATGCTTGAGCGCGCCCGCGTCGGGGAGGCCGAGGTCAGCGCGCGGGTGCCGCGGGAAGACGGGGTCTTGGCACTCGGCCAGGCAATTGGCGTCGACTCGCTTCTGAACGAATTCGGGTGCCTAGTGCCGCGCGGTGGGCTGGCGCCGCGGCGGGATCGGCGGCGGCGCTGGGCGCGGGGCCAGCGTTCGCTTTCACTTCCAGCGAAGACGGGGCACCACGAGAAAGGCTTCCAGAGCTTTCCTCCCTGACCCCCCCGCCTGGCCCGCCGGGGCCGCCCCCGGCCGAGGGGGGGCGCTGTTGGCGGCGAAGGCAGCGCGCGAGCGAGCCCACGCCTTCGCCTTCCGCCCGTCGCTGAGGCGGGCGCGCGCGGCGTTCGCGGCGGCGGCAAAGTTGGCCGCGTCGTTAATGGGAACCTTGCCACCCGCGATGCTGAGGTGATGTTTGCGCGCGGCGGCGCCGTCGTTCGGCCACGCAGCGAATGCGGCACTCTGGTGGCAGATCGCTCTGGCGACGCTGCGGAAGGGCATGGCGCGCGTGTCGCGCGAGGTCAGAGCAGAGCGGGGATTGCCGCGTCAACGCAACATCGGATATCCTTTTCAAGCGCGTCGCGGGTCGTTGCTGCGGCCACTTGAGTCCCCGCCTTCAGCGCCCGACTTCGCGTTGAGGTTTGTCTGTCTCATGTCCTGTGAATCGAGGGCGTGCTTGATGTCGTGGTCGTAGCGGAAAGAATCGAAGATGTTAGCTGGGGGCCCTCCTTCGCGAAGCGACTTCGGTCTGCTGATTCGGACGCGCGCGCGTGATCTTGCGGTCGCTGATGGGGCCCTTCTTGTTCTCGAGCAGCGAATCATCAGCGACGTGGGCGGCGCCCATCATCGGCATCGGGTGGCTGGGCAAGTTGGCGAAGCATCAGTCGATCGTGGACTCGCTCACGTTGGTCTCGGATCTGCGCGTGGTCGAAGTCGCGGCAATCTCGATGACGTCGCGGAACAGGGCGCGCCAATTGCGTGGCTGGCACTGGCGCCTCCGCGCGGCCGCGGTGCCCGGGCCGGTGGGCGGGCCAGCGGGTCCGGGCTGGAACTGCGGGACGTTGGGTTCACCGACGATCGCGGGCGGCCGCTGCTGTGGAAGCTCGTCTCCGTGAGCACGTGGAACGAGCCATTCGGCCTGGAGTAGCTGCGTCGATCACTCTTACGTTGTCCTGTCCTGCTCCGCTTATGTTGCCGCGGTCTGCTGAATCTCCCCATGTCGTCCCAGCGCCGGATGCATGGTCTGTGAGTCCATCTTCTTTTGTCTTATCAGTTTTGCAATCTCGCTTTACTTCTTCCAGCATGCGTCGCTCTTCTTGGCGGTTGTTGCTGACGCGAGCTTCCCTTCTCTGTTGCATCAGTGCCAATGTGCGTTGTGACACCTATGGTCGTCTTACTTTCTCTGGGCGGCGCGGCGCCGCAATGGCGGCCACTTGCGCGGCGCGCGCGCCCCGCCTCCGCAGAGCGCCCGCTCCCCCGGGGATCGCGCGGCCAACGATCTCGCCCAGCAATGCGTCTGCGCGCATTGATTGCTGCGGGGTCTCGAAGCAGATCTCTGTTTCTGGGAGGTCTGTGCGGATGTGGATCGTCATGCTGAGCGCGCTGAATGTCCACTGTCAGCAGGCAGTGGTCCTTGGCCAGAGCAGCTTCGCGGCGCAGTTCTAGACTCCGCAGCGGGGCCAACGTTGGAGCATCGCACATGGCGCGATCCAGAATGTAGCAGTAGGCCTCGGTGATAGGCCCTGGCGGCACGAGGCCGCTCCAAATATTAACGGCCAAAGGAAAGCTCCACGAGCAAATCCCACTTGGGGACTTCGACTCGACGTAGGCCCCGCCCACCTCCAGTGAACGGCTATATTGTCGTCGATTCCTCAGCGTCTGCATGCCCAATTCGCGCATTCACGCCCTCCATGATAAGCTCGCCGGCCGTGGCCGAGCATGTCCGGAACGCGGCGCCCAGAGCCCTCTAAAACGTGCGTCGCTCCAGCAAGGGCTTGGAGTTGCGGGGCGCGCGCGCGCCGAAGACCCAGAATATGCGATGTGCGATTTTGATTTTTGGCCGCATAATTGCAAATACTTCCTCGTACGATCGCGCAAGAAGCGCTCGAATGGGAGAGATGATGAAACCCAGTTCCCGAACATGATGTGGCATCTGTAAATTGCCCTGAAAGAACGATGCGGCTGCCGCTGTTCTCTTTTACGCAATTCTCAGTATTTGTCTTCCGCGCTTCCTGCGCGCGTGGACTGTGCGCACTGCGTGTCTCCATGTGCTGCGGGGTTTCCATGGCGCGCTCTGGAGTCAAACCGCGCGTTGCGCTCGGCGCACCGCAGTCTAGGGCGGCGCTCACGAGGGCGCGACCCAGCAGGACAAATCGCATCTCTGCCTGGCCCGCCCCAGGGGGGAATCGGGCGCGGAGGAATTCCACGGTCAGCGGGCCCACGGGGCGAGACTGCCCGGCGCCCTGGGCGCCTTCCATTGCGATCCCCCCCCTTGCTGGGCCCCTTGGCCGGGCCGGCCGCGCTCGCCGCCGAACAACCCGAAGCCCCCTTTTGCAATTATTGCTTGTCTGGGGATGTTGAAGTTCTCCCCGCGTCTCCCATTCCGAATCCCATTCCAAGTTTACTTCGCGGTTGACAACGCGCACTTCGATACCCGTTGCGTTGCTAATTCGGTTAGTCGTTACTACAAAGCATACACATACTAAGGCGAATACGGTTTGCATTATCATTTCATCATTGCTGACAAGTGCTAGTACTTTCACCACTGCTAAGACTAATACGAACACGAACGCTAATAGTGATAGTAATTTTGTTACCAACGAATCCCTACGAATACTAATACTGGCTCGGGTACGCTGGCACTGCTGACAATACTGGTGCCCATACTAATGCGACGACTCAAATTTGGACTGCTACTGCTACTATTGCTGCTACTGCTTCTGCTACCAGTACTCACGATACTAATACGGGAGCGAAAGCTAACACGAATATTGCGACTGCTACTATCACTGATACGGACGTTGGTACTACTACCAAAAGAAATGCAGTGGGAGTCAAAGGAAGACAACTCGAACGGGAGAACATCGGTGCCAAATCGCCCTGCTCGCTGACTCCGGACCGGGGGCCAACGGCGCCCGGCCGATTCCGGAGCCAGCGGGCCACCAAGCCGCTCCGTAGAGAACCACGCGGGACCCCCAGAGACAAGTGTTCGGGAGCGAAGCAACAGCGCCTCCTCCGCCTCCCTCCGCTACGGCCCCGGGGGGCTCCCAGAAAGAACCACAGACCCGCCACCACGCCGGGGACACCCCAGGGCAGCCGGAAAGGGCCCCAGGCCGCTCCGTAGAAAACCACGCGGGACCCCCAGAGGCAAGCTGCTCGGGAGCGAAGCAACAGCGCCTCCTCCGCCTCCCTCCGCCTCCCTCCGCCGCCTCCTCCTCCGCCTCCTCCTCCGCCTCCCTCCGCCCCCCTCCGCCTCCCTCCGCTACGGCCTCCCTCCGCCTCCCTCCGCCTCCTCCTCCGCCTCCCTCCGCCTCCCTCCAGCTCCTCCTCCGCCTCCCTCCGCTACGGCCCCGGGGGGGCTCCCAGAAAGAACCACAGACCCGCCACCACGCCGGGGACACCCCAGGGCAGCCGGGGGGGGCCCCGTCCGCCGCCCCCACGCCGCAGGGCCTGTTCTGCATCCTCGTCCCCGTCCTCGTCCCCTTCCTCGTCCTCGTCCTCGTCCTCGTCCCCTTCCTCGTCCTCGTCATCCTCTCCTCGTCCTCGTCCTCCTCCTCCTCCTTCTCTTCGTCCTCGTCCTCGTCCTCGTCCTCGTGCCCTTCCTCGTCCTCGTCCTCGTCCTCGTGCCCTTCCTCGTCCTCGTCCTCCTCCTCCTCCTCCTCTCCTCGTCCTCGTCTTCGTCCTCCGCCCCCTTGTCCTCGGTAGGTTCACCACCGAGGACTCGAAGCGCCTCCTAATGAAATGCCCAGGGCCGACTCGGAAAGGCGCCGAGATTTGTCAAAACATTGGAAGGGACTGTGCCCGCGGCGTGAGTGTGTCCCAAAGTCTGTGCTCTGCGTCCGAGGACAGCACGTGGCAGTAATCGTCCTCCGCTTGCCTACTTTCGAGCTCTAGGCGAGTCTGGGCAAGGCTGGTGCAGAGGACGGTGTGGTGGAGCCAGTCGAGTGGACGCAGTGAAACCTGTATCGGCGGGGCGCCAAAATCGAGCTGGGGCTTCAATCCCCAGTTCTCGGGGTGGCGTCTTGTCGATGGGTGTAGCTCGGCCCCTCTAGCACAGCAGAAGTTCCCCAAAGGCTCCTGATCCTCGTCCTCCTCCTGCTCCTGCTGCTCCTCCTGGCCAGCCTTTACGTTGCTTTGATGCTGCACGCCACAGGCGTGCCGTCCGAGCCTCGACTCACGGACGTGCTCGTGCTCCTCCTCATCCTCTTCCGCCGCCGCAGGGGAAAGACTCTCTTCCGACTCCTCCTGCCTCCAGTCGCATCGGCCATCGCACGTCCCGCGTCCGCTGGCAGAGGCTCCACCCTGCACCGCATGTCAGAGGATAAGCTCGCGGCCCAAGGTATCTTCTTGTCAGTGACCCACGGCTTGAACTGCGGAAGCATCTCTCCCCGTGCCTCTCTCCCTCCACCCCTCCTTCTCTCTCGCTCTTTACCTCTCCAGCCTGTGTTTTATTTGTTGTTATTCTCTCTCTCTCTCTCTTTCTTTCCCCCTCTCTCTCTCTCGCTTTCTTTCTTCATTTGTTCTTCGTCTTTTTCTGTTTCTCTCTCTCTCTCTCTCTCCCTCCCGTTCGCTTCCACTGTCCCCGGCCGCTCTGCCTGCGAGCCAGGCCGGCCAGACAGGACGGTGTGCGGCCTGCGCGAGGCGAGAGCGGCGCAGTGCCCAGCGGCAGCGGCACGCGTGCGTGCGGCCACACGCCACACCCATTACACACGCACGTTCGCGCGCGCACAGCACAGACACACGCGCGCACGCACGCACGCACGCGCACGTGCGCTGTCGCATGCGCACGCGACTTGTACCTGCACAGCTCATATGCAAGCGTGAGGCTGGCGCGGTGACACCACCTGCGCACAGATGCACTCCTCTGAAGAAGACGCGTTCCACGCGTGAGCGCAGAAAAGGGGAAGCTCAGAGCAAGCTGAGACTTAGACACCCTGAGGCCATGGTATTGAGTTGCTGAGCATGGCACGTTCTATGATTCCTTGCATTGCGCTGCATGTCAACGCATTGCATTGACTTGGTTTGCTTTGCGTTGTGCGCATATGCCTGGTGTTGCTTTCAATTGCACTACCGTGATCTACGTTGCTACGCATTGCATCTCGCTGCGCTGCACTGCACCTCATTGTATCGTTCTGCTTTGACGTGCTGTACGCTGCACTTGCACTTGAACTGCATTGCGCTGCTCCTCAAGGAGGACGTCTTCGAAGAACGGGGGGGGCGTCCCCACGGAACTGGGGAAGGGGTAGGGGCGCAAGCTGCCCTATTGCATGCCATACGAATGGGGGGGCAGAACAACAGGAGGGAGGAGGCACGGTATGCACGGGGCCGGGGGATAGCACAATGGGAGATTGGAGAAGGGATGTGAGAGGAAGAGGGAGGATAGGAGGGAGAGAAAGAAGGACGGAGACACAGGGAGAACGTTGATGGAAGGAGGAGGGGGAGGAGCAAAGAGGAGGAAGAGGAGGAGGAGGAGGAGGAGGAGGAGGAGGAGGAGGAGGAGGAGGAGGAGGGTCCGAACGGGAACGGGGCCCAATCAAAGCTTAGTCGCGGATGGCAGCCTGGGCTGCGCAAAGTAGGTGAACGCGTGCGCGAAGCAGGTGAACGTCATGAGGAGGAGCAGGAAGAGGAGGAGGAGGAGGAAGAAGAGAAAGATGAGGAGGAGGAAAGATGAACAGGATCAAAACGATCGAAATCTGCCACCCCTGCTACAGACGCCGTGCTGGTCTGCGAGTCCCGGACGTGCCCTGCTCTTCTCCTAGCTCTGGGCGCCGACCCCCCCCCCACACCCCACCGCCGACATGTTTGAACGAAGCCAAGCCTTTGTCGCTGCTGCCCCCTCCCCTTCAACTTCTTCCCCTCCCCTTCCCCTCCCCGTTTCCCTCCTCCACACCTCCTCCCCCCAAGCTCCTCCCCTGCCCTCCCCTCCACCATCTTCTCCCTCTTCCTCCTTGTCCTCCTCCTCCTCTTCAACCTCGTCCCCCTCCTCTTCCTCCTCCTCCTCCTCAACTCCTCGTCTCTCCCTTCCTCCTCCTCCGCCTCCTCCTCCTCCTCCTCTGTGTCCTCCTCCTCCTCCTCCTGCTCCTCCTCGCCTCCTCCCCTCCTCCTCCTCCTCCTCCTCCTCTCCTCCTCCTTCGCATATCATCATCATCATCATCATCATCATCATCATCATCATCATCATCATCATCATCATCATCATCATCATCATCATCATCATCATCATCATCATCATCATCAGCATCAGCATCAGCATCAGCATCATCATCATCATCATCATCATCATCACCATCATCACCATCATCATCATCATCATCATCATCATCAACATCAACAGAATCAGCATCAGCATCATATTCATTATCAGCAGCATCATCATCATCGTCATCATCATCAACAGCAGCATCATCAGCACCATAATCCTCATCATCATCAGCAGCATCATCATCACCATCATCATCAATCACCACCACCATCACCATCAACATAACCAGCATCAGTATCATCACGAGCAGCAGCATCAGCATCAGCATCATCACCATCATCATCAGCATCAGCATCATCAGCAGTATCATCAGCGTCATCAGCATCATCCTCATCATCATCATCATCATCAGCAGCAGCAGCAGCATCCTCAACATCCCCATCCTCGTCTTCATCAACATCATTACCATCCTCTTCATCATCAGCATGAGCATCACCACCGTCACCATCAACATCACCAGCATCAATGTTACCATCACCAGTATCATCATTATCATCATCAGCCGTAGCATCATAATCATCAGCAGCAGCATCATCAGCATCATCATCAGTATCAGCATCAGCATCAGCATCATCATCATCATCATCATCATCATCATCATCATCATCATCATCATCATCATCATCCTCACCATCATCATAATACTGATATTCATCATCTGCATCAGCATCAGCAGTATCACCAGCATCATCAGTTGCATCATCGTCCTTCTCCTCCTCATCATCATCGTCATTATCATCAGCGTCCTCGTCCTCATCCTCGTCCTTGTCCACATCCGCATCCTCATACTCCTCCTCCACTTCCTCCTCCTCGCCCTCCTCCTCCTCCCCCTCCTCGTCCTCCTCCTCCTCTTGGGCCAGGCCAAGGGCGACATGGCACAGCGAGGAACCTTGGGGAGGGTGAGGGGTCATGGACAGCACCTCGCCCGCGCACCCCTCCTTGGGAGGGGCGTCGCCTCCTCCATCGAGGCGCTCGACCTGGACATGCAAACGAAGTCTGCGAACATCCGCCGACCCCGGAGGCGTGTGAGATGCAGGGCCGCGTTGGAGTCACCGTTCTTGCCCGGCATCCCCACCCTGCCCGGGCAGAACCCAACAACGTCCTGCCTGACCCCCCCCCACCCCTCGAGAGCTCAGTTCCTGGGACCGTGCACAGAACAAGTTCTGGCCCGAAACCTACCCACACACCCCACGACACCCCCACCACGTCCCAGCACCCCAACCTCACTAATCGCAGTTCTTGGGCCCCCCCCACACACAGGAATTTCTGGCCCAACACCTACCCCCACACCCCCGACCATGCCCCGACCACGTCCTGGTTCCCCCCTCTACGAGAGCTCAATTCTTGGGACCACCCTCTCGACAACTAAGACGAATGTGCGCGGCGCTCAGGCGAGAATCGCATGTTGAAAAGGGGCCGACACTCGTCCGTGAAACTCTTGCAAACGTTTGAGACAAAGGTGCGCGACGTTCAGGCGAGAACCACATGTTCAAAACAGCCCGCCCTTCATCTGTAAAGCTCTTGCAACGGGCCGCCCTCAGTTCGTGAAGCTGTTGCAACTTGCAAGCCTCAAGATCAAGCATGGCGACGAAGTCTGAGGCGAAGCTCACAGCGCGCCCTACCGACACGTCTGGGGGCGCGAAAGGGAAGAGTTATCCATAGATAAAGGGAGTGGAGGAAGAGGAGGAGGAGGAAGAGAAGGAAGAGGAGGAGGAGGAGTCCTCCCCCCTCCCTCCTCCCCCCCTTCCCACCCTGCCCTTCCTCCCCTTCTCCCCCGCGCCGAGCTGAGAGGAGGAGGAGGACGAGGAGGAGGAAGAGGAAGAGGAGGAGGAGCTGAGAGGAGTGGAGGACGAGGAGGAGGAAGAGGAGGACGAGGAAGAGGAGGAGGAGGAGGAGGAAGAGGAGGAGGAGGAGGAGGGAGGAGTCCCCCCCCCTCCCTCCTCCCCCCCCCCGCCCTGCCCCTCCTCCCCTCCCCCCCCGCGCCGAGCCGAGAGGGGCCGCGCCCGCCTTGTGCAGCGCGTCGGCCTGGCGGCGCAGGTCCCACAGCGACACGAGCCCGTCGCGGCCGCCTGCCGCCCGGGCGGCGGGCCCCACAAAGGCCAGGGCGCCGGGACAAGGACAAAGGGGGCCCAAGGACGCACAAATCCGCCGATCCGGCGCGTGAGTTTCTGAGAGCGTGGACTTGAGCTCGCCCAAGCTTCGCTCTGCAGGGGGGGGGGGCGTACGTTATTTCCGACGTCATTTCGACGTTTTTCGGTGCCTGGGGATCTTTCCGACGTCATTTCCGACGTTTTTCGGTCTCACCCCCCCCCCCCGGATCGGCGGCACTGGCCGGAGGCCAGCCCAATAAATTGACACAATTCCCAGGATTCACAATATTTCCTCATACTTTGTGGGTGTTCGTCTCCCCCCCCCACACACTTCCTGTGTTTTCGCCTACTTTCCAGGGAATCGACGACTGATTGTGTCTGTGTGCTTTTCCCCTCCCGAGAGAAGGACCAAAGGGGCGGAGGAGGCTTCGAAAGGCTCTGGGATCCGAGGTTCTCGCATGCGTCCGTGGGAGCGCGGCGGCTCTCCAGCCTCGGGGGCGCCCTCCAGCAGCTGCGCCTCGCCGAGAGCGTTCCAGGGGGGGCCCCGCCGGAGGCCCGAGCTGTGTCCCGAACGCCAGCGGCGAGTTGGGCACCCAGGGGGGGGAGGAGTCCCGCGGGCGGGCTGAACTGTTGGGCTGTTTGCTGATTTGTTTTAATATATATATATTATATATATATATATATATATATATATACATATATATGTAGATATATACATATATATAATATATATATATATATATATATATATATATAATGGTAGCCGTCGTGACCCGAGGGGGGGAGACACGGCAACGCCTGGGCGGGGTGGGGGCGCGCCAGGGCGGGGGCGCGCTGGGATCGCCATCGTGTGCGCCCGAGCGCCAGCATGTGCGCGGGGGTTGTCCAGGGCCCCTCTGAGTACGATCTTGACCGTTACCGGAGGTTGGCCCGGGTAACGGCCGCTTTTGGGTTCACGCCAAGACCTCCTCGCATCGTGAACAGAATCACGGCGGGAGGCTCTGCGCCGTGTTCGGCCACTGGGGAGCCCACAGCACGCCCCGGGGCCGTCACAAAACCGACTCGGGACGAAGAGGCGGTCTGGGGGGGAAGTGGCCTCGACGACCAGGGGCCCACGTTGTGCACAGGGCGCGACGTCGGAGAGGAGGAGGAGGAGGAGGAGGAGTCGAGCGTGCGGAGGGGAAGGCTCCAGGCCCCCGACGGCCGCGCCCCGCACGGCGCCAGCAGCCCCCGAACACGCGCTCGCCTGCTCACAGGCAGCGCGCCAAGAGGAGGATGCCAAACATCTCCTCGGACGTGAACTGGAAGCTGATCTTGATCAGCGGCGGCTCCACGGAGCCGAAGTGGATGAAGTACGTCGGCATCTCCCTCACGATGCCGATCAGGTGTAGGTGGATGTCCGTGTCCAGGCGCCGCCCCCTCGCGTCGGCGGCGATGGTGGTGACGCTGCACGGGCGGCGGCTTCTTCATAGTCTTCGTGGCCCGCAGGGCCGCCCGCGCGGCCGACAGGGTGGCCTCCGCCGAGACGTGGGTCTCCTGCCTGAGCGCATGGTACGTGAGGCAGGCAACCGCGATGGACTCGGCGCTCTCGTTGCTCTGGTCGGTGAGTCCGAGCTTCGCGAACTCGGTGGAGAGGGGGGGCGCGCCGCATGCACGTCCCACAGCCTGCGCCAGCGGCGCGCAAACTAGGTAGTGGCGCATCTTGTCTTGGCCACTGGCGCAGCCGAAGATGCACAGGCGCCTGCCGCACGGGTAGGCGACGCGGTGGGAAGTGAGCCAAGAAAAGGATAGTGTCCTCATCCACGCCGTCGCCCACGATGGGGGCAGTCTCTTCATGGCGGCCTGGATGTCGTTCATGATGGAGGGGTTGTGAAGGAAGAACATGCCAGCGTGCGGGAGCTCCTTCACGATGCGGCCCTGCAGGAAGGGTCCGATGCAGTCGGGCCCGCGGGTGGCCAAGGCCGAAGCGAAGGCGTGCTTCTGAGCAAGGCCAGGCTGCCCGTTGGCGACAGCCGCCCGCGAGGCCTCGACCGCTGGCGCCACGAACTGGCGAGAGTAGTATCCGTGGTCGGAGGTGGCCGACACGATCTGGTGCATCGTCTCCACGAAGGCCTGCGTCTTCCACCACGGCGGTGAGAGATGAAGGACACCCCGCGCGGCGCCCTCAAGGGTCTGCTGGATGCCGTAGGAGTTCAAGCCTTCATGCAGCCTCACGCGGATCTCGGTGAACTTCTTGAATGTCGAGGTCGCCGCGCGGACGATCGTCGCAATCATGCTGAGCTGGAGCGACCTCGGCGCGGGAACTCCCCAGTTCTTCAGAAAGGGCCAGTCCTTCAGCCTACAAGCGCCATTCGGGAAGCGCAGGACGGAGGCGTTGATCCAGCTCTCGCGTTTGAAGTGCTCGTGCGGGAGCAAGGCGTACTGGGCAAGGTAGCCAAGGACGGGGAGCGCGCGCCTGTTATACAGGGAGACAGTTCCGACGGCTGGCGCGTCGCTCGCGCTGTGCGCCATGGCTCGGGAGCGGCACTTGTTGAAGGCCTTCGCGTAGATGAGCTGGTCCGTGGCGCCAGGGCCCAGCAAGAGGCCGAGGTAGGTGAGGTGGTCGCATACGTTGAAGTCCTTGAACTTCGGGACAATGGCAAGCAGCGCGTTCTTGAGTTTGAGGATGAGGTCAGCATTGACCTGGCCTGCCAAGGGGATGATGTGGCACTTCGGCGCCTCCAATTCCAGACCAGCCAAAATTTCCATGCAAAGCATGACGTCTGCGAGGTAGACGAGGTAGATAACGGCCCGAAGGACAAGTCCCAGGTCATCAGCGCATGCCCGACAATGTCCACGGCCTTGAGCTTCGAGGACGGTCTCGAGGTTGAGCAGGAAGCATGCAGTGCCCAACGCATACAGCGCGCCGCTCCATCCGCATCCTTGGATGATGCCCGACCTGATGCAAAAAAGCGGGACGTACTGGCCAGCGCACGGGGCCATCGCGAGGATGTTGTTATACATGGAGTCGAAGAACATGAGGACCGCTTCAGGAGCGCCCATGGCTTTGAGCGCCAGACGGATGAACTGGTGGGCGAAGCTGGGAAAGGCCTGCGCGATGTCCAGCGACACCAGCACGGGCAGCATGTTCTGGGCGTCAGGGTCGGCCGAGGCAATGCGGCTCTCGGCGTCGAGCTCGAGGATGTTGTAGCCAAAGTTGCGCCGGTGGATGAGGCCGCGCTGTGAGGCTGGTACTACATCAGCTGCCGCCGTTGCCGTCGCAGCATTCATCGCGCTGCTGATGATCTTGAGGGACGTGTTGCGCAGTCCCAGGACACGGACTTTGGACGGGTCTCGATGGCAGCCGTTGTGTTCCGAGTCCTCTGGTTCCTCACCTTTGGGCAAGAAGGCTTGGACGGTCGCGTTCACTTCGTCGGGGAGGATCCCGCCGTTAAGCATGTAGCACATGACGTCCCAGAGAACCTCGGTGCACTTCTCATGCGCGGACCAGGCGAGGTACGGTAGCCCGTCAAGGCCTGGCGAGGTAGGTGACGAGCGCTTGGCGAACTTCTTGAGCGTCTCGTAGTCTGGCGGCTTGTACTTGGAGAAATTGATGGTGGGTGAGAACTGGTTCAGGTAGGCTGCGGCCTTTGTCAAGTCGACGGTCTTGCCCTCGAAGACGGGCTGCCAGTGCTCGACAAGTTTCTTGAGACGTTCATTGGGGCCCGTCACGGTGCCCTCACAAATCTTGACCCCCGTCAGAACCAGACGCTTGCTGAGCGGGTTCCAGAGCTTGAGCTTCCGATGCAATGCTCGGGTTTGTCCACGCGCTTGAGCGGGTCGTAGGCGCCCGCGCTGAACTGCTTGGTCGATGACTGCGAGACGCTGTTCAGCATCTTGGCGGAAAAGGACGCCTGCCCACTCCTCGAACTTTGCATGGTCGATGAGCTCAACGCTGTCACCGTTGATCTGGATATGTTCTTTCGCGACTAGGTGCGAGCGAAGGAGGCGAGCAGCGAGTTGACGGTCTTGGCGCCAGACCGCCCGAGAGATCGACTTCGCTACCTGGAAGAGCACGTCGCCACTGTTCGGTTGCATTTCATGAAGACGGTCACGAGTCTCACGTGCGATTTGTCGGAGGAGGTCGGTGGTCAGAATCAGCTTGGTCGGCGGGGATAGGTTGTCCATGGGGGAGGCGGCGAACACGTTGTCGGCAATCTCTTTGAAGACGGGGGACTTGACAATGTACTGGGCGATCGGCTGGTTCGGCGAGGGTTTGGCGTCACGCATCGTGAAAGAGACGAAGAGGGCGGCATGGTCACTGACTCGACGGCGTGAGAGATCTTCGGGTGTGGAGAAGGTGGAGGACGTAACAGCCAGTTGCATCATCTGCGTGGGGGTGAACGAGCAGAAGCATCTGTCAATGGTGGTCTCGGCCTTCGTCTCGGAGCAGTAGTGCGTAGTGTCGGCGCTGTCGATCTCCACTAGGTGCTTCAGGGCGTGGTGCCACTTGCGCGCCGATGCTTTGGACGTTTCGGATGGGTTCGAGTTGCCCTTTGCCACGGGGCCCAGGAGCTTCAGCTCCCCGACGGCGGAGAAGTTGAAATCACCAGTGACGAACATGACATTGCGGCTCGGGTCAGACCTCACCCACTGTAGGTCGTTGTTGATGCGCGAGGTGATGTTCTGGATGGTGGCGTTGCTGAGGTCGTAATTGTGGATATTGTAGAAGATCATCACTTGGTCGCCAGCACGGAAGACAGAGCGTAGGACACGGCCAGGGAAGATGGGGTCGCTCACGGCGTTCATCTCAGCTGGGAACACAGCGGCTACCCCGCCACTGATAGTGCCATGATATCCAGGAGCGAAGGAGGAGTGCATGTCAAGGGTGCTGTCGATCTTCCGCATGAAGGCGAGGAGCTGGCCGTGGTTCTGGTGCACCTCCTGGATGCCCAAGACCATCTTGCGCAGCGGCATGGACTTGAGGTACGAGGACTTCTCCACGACGCGTCTGCCCTGGTAGCCCAAGAGAGCGCGGGCGTTCCACGTGCCGACTGCTAGGCAGGGCGACGGCCCGCTGAGGAGACGCTTCTGGCTGCGCGCCAGCTCGTCAAAGCCAAAATTGCGGGGCGGCTTCAGGTGCAACGACCACGCTGGCTGCGTTCTTGAGCGTCGCGCGGTCGATGCCCAGCGCGGGCAGGCCGGTGTCCTGGAACGTGAGGATGGTCGGCTCGTCCCTGCCTGGGCGGACGCTGTACGCGATGACGGGGGCCCAGCCTGCTGTGATCCATGCCTTGGCGCGGTCCACTCGCCAGACGTGGTTCGGGAACTCGCGTTCCATGGCCTGGCGGAGGCGCTTCCCCACGATCTCCGTCTTGATCTGCTTCGGCGATTTGTCGGGGCCCATCCGCAGCTCGACCGCCCCGTGGCCCGAGACAGCGTCGGCGTAGATGCGCACCCAGGTGCCGTTGGACGAGCGCATGCTGTCCAGGACCTTCTGCACTCGGCGGCTGGCGGGGCCAGGGAGGCCCGTGAACTTGATAGTGAAGAATTTGGCAGTGTCATTGCCCGTGACAGTGAAGTCAGACTCGCGGATGTCGCAGCCCGCCACAAACTTGGTGAGGGACTCGGTGGCCTTGGCCAGGGTGACGAGGCCGTCGGCGTGGACCTTGATGATGGTGGCGTCGATCTCGCGGTCGAAGTCGCGCCCGATGTACTGCTGTTTGATCGGCTGCTGGTTGGCTGTGGCGAGCTCGCGTTGCAAGACCTTGATCTGCTCCGCCATGAGCTCGATGGCTTTGTCAGTCTTCTCCTGCTTGGCCTCGACCTCGCCGACGCGGATGTTGAACGCGTCGAGCATCTGCTGGAAGTGCTTCCTCGTGGAGTCGATCTGTTGGCCGACGGCGAGGTGGACGTTCTTCTCGATCTTGGCGCCAAGCCCGTCGATGCCGTCCTGGGCGGCCTTGAGCGCCAGCGAGATGGGGTTGGTCGCGGAGCCGACCACGGTGGTGACAGTGGCGTTGATGGACTCCTCGATTGAGGTCTCCATCGCATCGATCTTTGACTGGAGGGACTGCACGTAGGCCATAGTGGCGTAGGCGTCCAGGTCTGCTTCCTGTCCCTGTGGTGGCGAGCGTGAGCGATCAGCCCTGCCACCAGTAGCACCGCCAGGCTCGCCAGGAGGAGGAGGACGCTCCGAGATCCCTTTGCCGCGCAGTGGTGTCTCTGCTGGCGAGCCTCCTTTCTCTGCCATGGCTGGGAGGAGACCTGTGACGCTCGCGCCCACAGGAACGGGAAAGGCCTCCGTTTACCCGTGGTGGCAAACGTCGGTGTGGTTGAAGTCTGCCAGGCCACAGGTGGCCTTGTCTGCCGCGGACTAGCGGTATCCACTTGTCCCCCTGAGGGACTCATCATCTTGAGCCAAAATGGCTACGGAGGAGGAGGAGGAGGAGGAGGAGGAGGAGGAGGAGGAGGAGGAGGAGGAGGAGGAGGGAGAAGGAGAAGGAGGAGGAGGAGGAGGAGGAGGAGGAGGAGGAGGTCTGGGGAGGGCCTCTGCTCCTCGGGCCGCGGCTCGGCTCTGCCTCGAGGGCGCCCCGCCGTGGCCGCGGCGCGCCGTGGCCGGGGAAGGACCCGCTCGCTGCCTGCGCGAGGGCCGCGCGGGATTCCTCGGGCGCAGCCGGCGGCCGCACGGCGCGGCCGGCGCCCTGTGCGGGGGCGCCGCGCAGGGCGGAAGCGGGGCACGGGCGGGGCGGCAGGCGGGAGGAAGGGGCGGCCGCGGAGGGGCCGGGAGGGGCGGCGCTCTCGGGTCGCGGAGGTCCTCTTGGGCTGCGTGGCGGCGTCAGGAAGCTCACTCTCTCTCCCTCTTTGTTTTGTGTTTTTTTGTTTATCTCTCTCTCTATATATATATATGTATGTATAGGTATAGGTATACATACATACATACATACATACATACATATATATATATATATATATATATATATATATATATATATATTCAGGCGTTACAGTCTGCGTGAACAAAACCGTTCTCCCAGATCCGACGTTGCGAAACACATGCGACATTGCGAAACATCGCGGCCCGAGCCCCAGACCTCGTCTTTCTGCTGCATTTTCCGTGATGGATCGACCTGTGATGGTTGGTCCCAGAGCCCGAAACCGGCCGAAAACGCGCGGTGTGGAAAAAGTGCAACGCCCTGATTCTCAGGGTACTCCTCCTCCCCCACGCCCTCTGACCCCTCCTCCCCGTCGCTATTCGCACAGCGCGCGCCAGAGAAACTCGGCCACAGGCGAGAGGGAGTCGCCAAGAGCAGCGGTAGGCGGGGCCGAGTCCGAGGAGCAAGGCGATGCGGAGGAGCCAGAAGAGGAAGAGGACCTACAGGGGGGAAGGACGCCATACGCCCGGTGAAACACCTGCAGGGTCCCCCATCATCTTTCCCAAATGGGTCAAGGTCGGCACAAGGTGGCTTGAGAAGACCTCGAGACTCGAGACGACACAAAGGCGAACACTTCCATGTTGAGCAAGAGCCCCGCATGTATCCCAAACTGCGCCCACGTCGAAGCCGGCTTGGTCTCCGCCAGAGAACTCAAGTCAAGCCCAAATGGTCCAAACGTGATCCCAGAGCCGTCTCCTCCTCCTCCTGCTCTAGAAGGAGGAGGAGGAGGAGGAGGAGGAGGAGGAGGAAGGAGGAGGAGGGACGAGGAGAAGGAGGAGGGAGGAGCAGGAGGAAGAGGAGGAGGAGGTGGAGGAGGAGGTGGAAGAGGAGGAGGAGGAGGAGGAGGAGGCGGAGGAGGAGGCGGAGGCGGAGGAGGAGGAGGAGGAGGAGGACGACGACGACGACGACGACGTCGAGGCAGCGCGAGGATGCGAAGCCCCGGGCCGCCGCGCCACTCCCTGGGGGGGCTGGCCGCGCCCCGCCCCGCACCCCGCCGAGGAGGCCCGACCCCTGGCGGCCACGGCAGGCGGGCGCCTCGACGGCTGCGGGGGAGCCCATGCGGTGCGGGCTCGGGCCATCGCGCGGACGTCCATTCCCTGTGCTTTTTCCGGTTTCGTGCTTGTTTTTTCGCCAAATGGTCAAGGATGCTCCTCGACGGCCCTCGCCGAGAAAAAGTGCACACGTCCGAGCGATGCCAGGGGCTTGGGCTGCAGTGGGGGCTCGGCCACGAGAAACCTCCGCAAGAAGCCCAACCCAGAGATCCGCGATTCGTTCAGCGAAAACACACGTGTCGCTCGAAGATCGTCAGGATCTGAGTGGGAGCCCATCGACGTCCAAGAAACCGAGGGCACCCTGGCAAAATCCAACTGGTTTCTTGGCATGCGCCCCCACCGTAGGGCACCACTGGATGGGGAAGCCGGGGTCTGGAGGCTGGCGGGATGCCCATCGAGGCCTGGCCACGGATCTCAGCGCCGCCCTCGTCGTACCAGCAATCCCCCAGGGTCTCCTCCTGGGCACACTCCTCGACCCACCCACGCCACCGTAGTCGCGTCGATGCGTCGGCCCGGCGACTTCGGCGCTGTCTGAACCTCCTCACGACTTCGGACCTCGGGGCTGGGCGTGGGCCGGCCCCTGGCGCGCGGCTTGTCTGGGGGCAGCGAGGGAGGGCCAGCGCCAAACGCGCAGGCCAGTGCTGGGGGGGGGGCCCTAGGACACACGAACAAATACACACAAATAAATGGATTCCCCATATTTTCCCATATCTTCTGGGTTTCTGTCTTCCCCCCCACTCCCCACAGTGTCCATATCTTTTCCTGGGCAGTCGACGATGAATTGTGTCTGTGTGTTCTTCTCCCTCCTGACAGTGCTGGGGGGGGGCCCTGTGCAGGAGAGCCCAGAGAATCGAGTCGACAGGTCGGATCGGCGACCGAAGAAAGCTGGCTCGGCTGCGCGCAGCAGCGGC